CCGAACGACGGCCATGTTACTTTGCCTTATCCAGAGATGGCGCTGCAGATTACTGGAAGTCGTTTGCTAAAAGTGAAGCCCCTAGGCTGCCTAGGCGTCGAGCGAAAACACACTGTAACCAGCTTCCAGTAACCAGTGTGAACGAGGCATTTGACCGCAACTACGAAGACCGTAGTTCAGATTTCAGCGGCTCTTTTCAAATCCACCAAATCGCTGCTTTTTCGGGCGCACTCCTGGCTGCCTCTCGTTTATTATTCAAACGTCAAACTGCGAAAGCAGACGATCGCACGAAACAAGAACCGTCGCAGACGAAAGTACGTCATTTCTACAGCAGCATTGCGCGGATTGATTTATTAAAATTTATGGCGTGACACTTTGCACACTGTGAAGCTTAGCTGAAAACCCAAACAACTTTATTTTGGCAAATATTTCGCGGAAGCCAAAACTCGGAGAAAAGCGCGCTTTTTCGCTCGGCGCGTCCAGTCAGCGTCCAGTTGCGTCCAGTCAGAGCCGTTAATTGGGAGAGTTTGGCCATACATTGGTTTGAATGGGCGAGCATCTCGGGGCCAACCACAGGCCTCGAAACAGCCCCTAGCGGTGGTCGTGAGCTCTAAATATGTGACGCGACTAATTTAAGCCGTTTTAGCGTCGCTGGAGTGATATGGTTTGGCTTTCGGTGACTGAAAACGTTGGGCATGTGAGGTTTTCGTCAAGCCAATATTTAAGTGTAGAATAAACGAGCGTGCGCTCCAAACCAGGGCCGACTAGCGTCTCAGCTGAGACTGAGAAAGAAAGCTTTGCCAAAGCCAGGCTCACGAGCCGAGCGCGCGAGCGTGACTCCACGTCTCAAGACCAGAGTGTCGAACCGAAATTTTTATCGGTTCGCTTCCGGTTCGGGTTCACGGCTTTCGGTTCGGTTCCGGTTCAGTTCCGGGGAGCAAAAAATAACGGTTCAAACCGGTTCGCACCGGTTTGAACCGGTTTGAACCGCTAAATTGAGAATATATTTTCCGCGTTCTTCTGGCAATATACACAATTTACGCCGTGAAACGATGAACTATATAGTTTCTTCGATCGTCTGTGCAATTTACTTTTGTTTCTTAGGTACCAAAAATATTAAATTCAGTTATATAATTTCGACGCAAAGGTAAAAAAAAAAAAAATCTACATTAACATACATAACGTCGTGTTCATACGACTCCACATCCCTTTGTTTACCAGTAACATATATTTTACCTGAATCAAAATGTTTAAGTACAAGAGTAAAGAGTTGAGCTGGTTGGTAAATACCTGTAAATAGATCAGCTTCAAATTTAGAACTATACTGTGTTTTATTTTGCTTTCTTCGTATTTAAGTAAAATTCTAAAGTTCAAGCTGATCTATTTACACGGTATAAAATGTTGTCGCAAAGTGTGGTAGGTCGCCTAAAATACCCATGTTTGGTACAACTTTGTGTCGCAGTGTTAAAAATGAAATCGTGATTGTGTCCTTGAACTAAGGAATTAATTACATCACATAAAATTATGAAATGAGCACCTCGGTGCTCATGCTAATTATGAAATAAGGTTTACGAAATACACTTCACAATATATATGTATATGATGATGACACAACTGAGCTAAAAGCAATGAAATTTCCAGAATTTAACAAAAGTTTTAGTATAATTCCTTTCAGTCTATTTTTTATAGAAACACAGAGCGGCAATCCAAATGTTTGTTGTTCTAACCAAACATTGTTTACACTCAGCACCGCATGCATGCCACTAATCATGCAGCAAGAAGTAGTCGCAATTTTTCACTCTAATCTATATGCACCTTCGCACTCAGATCGAATCTGGCCCAAAATAGCGCTTGTCCAAGTGAACATTTTCTTATGCAGAATAAGCTGGCATAGCCTGGCTGTTGAGGTTTGTTCTTGACAAGATGCCGGTCAATTTAATTTGCAAATGAGCATCACAGTTGCTAACTGATGATTTTAACTCGATAGCGTTAAGGAGCTCATGTCGCAGAAAAGCCGATGTCGGTGGCGTGACTGGAAAATCCTGATTGGTCGATAGGGTCATGACGTCAGAGCTACATACCCTAGCGCAAGAATTTCAAGCAACCCACAATGCTCACGTGAAACGTGACATAACGCGTGGAATGAGAGTGATTAAAACATGACATGTAGTGCGAATTAAAGGTCACCGTATGTCTCAAATGATTTCACTTTTAAAAGTAATTATTTTGCCTTAAAGGAAAAAAATTAAGAACTTTAGGCGGGATTCGAACCCACGACCCTTTAGTTGCGAGTCAGACGCTTTTCACTAGGAACGGCGCGAGCGTCTGGCACGACAAAAACGTGCTTTTTGGTAAGAGCGCTTTTGCAAGCAAAGTAGTTTCCAGAGTCACGCTTTTTGGTCTGCGCCAAAGATGCAGGGAAGAGGAACTTTTACAACACTGTCAATCGAGTGGCCGTGGCACTGTTTTCGTTCATCCAGTCTGGCCAGTCTCTGAGACGCTGTTCTAGCAAGGCGGCCGAGAGCAAACTGTCACCGATACTCCATCTCAGAAACATCAGCAGTGCAGACAAAGGCATAAGCACGAGCGCGTGGCGCAGGGGCGGATCTGGAACTCCGTTTTGGGGGGGAGGGGGGGGGGGGGGCGGAAAATTTGAAAAGATACTATTCTCCCATTCTTGTGCACCGGGGCGTCTACCTATGGCAATTTGCACTCCGAGAAGGGGGGAGGGGAGTGGGTCGACTTTGTTCGGGGGGGGGGGGGGGGGGGGGGGAACGGCCGCCCCCGTCGCCCCCCCCCCCCCCCACCCCCTTGGATCCGCCCCTAGCGTGGCGTTGGAAAGTGCCTCCTATGCACGAGTTCTCGTACAAACAAAAGCATTTCGCTGAGCTGGGCTCGCGTGCCCTGTGCCTTCGTCTTTACTACTTTAAATGCCGTTTGCAATATTGTGAAGTTGCGGTCTCGTGATTGGTCGACGCTGTGTCGTACCTTTAGTTTACACCCGTGGTTTACACTCTAACCGCGGGGGGAGTTTTCGGCGCTGGCGGCGGCCTTTGCTCCGCTCATTGTCCAAACTCTCCTAATATACGGCTCTGCGTCCAGTTAATGCCCCTTCATATTTAAAAAGTCGCGCAAGGTGCGTCGGTGCACGAGGCACGTGCAACGTGCAGCCTTTGGGAAGACCATGGCGGCACAGCGCAGCACGGAGCCAGATTTCGGACAAAATGAATTTCCCAGAAGTGGCCCGCGGCACGTGCCTCGAGCATTTCTACAACAATGAATGGCGCCACCTTTCCCAGAGTAGAGGGGCTTTATACTTCGTTTCAGCTTCGGTCCAGACGCAGCCGATGCTACAAGCGCGAGCGTATAGCCCAGAACAGTGCTTGCACTGCACGAGCGCTCGTGCTTGGCAGGGATGCTGAAAGCCCGGAGCTCGCGCTTGTAGCTTTGGCTGCGTCTGGACCGAAGCTGAAACGAAGTATAGAAAGAAATCAGTTATTACTTTCTTATTTTCGTTGTACTCGGAGTTCCCACTTGAAATGTTAGCAGTTAAATCCATTTTTGAAAAAAATTGCTACAAAATCCGTCGGTTTTTTTTTTTTTGTATTTTTTGCGAGCCGTTTTAGCGAGCAAATTTTATTTTTTGTGACATTTTAATCGAGTACGAATATCGATCTATCTGTCAGTCTCTCTGCCCCTGGCTTTCCTTTGAAAAGTCGAGCGTGCGCGCGCACCAAGTTCAACGCACTATACAGCGCACTACAGAGGGCAAGAAGCATGTGCTGTAGGCGGTGCTCCAACAGATCGATGTTATGTTGCGTCAAGCTAAAGGCCCGTTCACACTTGCGACAGTCGCTGGAGCGACTAGCGACTGGTTTTTAGTCGCGGAGAGACCAAAACAGGTCGCTGGCGACCGGTTTTGGGCAGTCGCTCCCTGACCGATTTCTCAAGTCGCAAAACCGAGTCGCTGGACGGCGGAGCCAATCACAGTGTGCATTTGTCCGGAACTGTTTCCCGCGGGAAACAGCGACGCGACGCACGGCGGCGGTAACTGGCATGGAGTTCTCCGCGGAAGCTCCTATTAAGGCTGTCAAAGACTATCCGTTTCTTTAGAATCAGCGGCACCCCGACCAGAAAGATTGGGACAAAAAGCTGCAGGCCTGGAACGAGATTGGCGGCATTTTCGGCATTGCAGGTACGAACAATATCACTGTTGAGGGAGCGCACATATAGTTGTCTTACGTTCCAAAGCACCATTAAGATTTTTTTTTTTTTTTTTTCTCCTGCCGGCGTTTTTGATCAGAAAGACCGTTCGGCCGGCTCGGGAAGGTGTTGATTATTATCCGATCAGGTGTGAACACTGGTGGTCACCAGTCGCTTGTCGCTCCAGCGACTGTCCGAAGTCGTAAGTGTGAACGGGCCCTTACAGCGAAAATGCGCAAGAAAATCTGCAAGAGCTCGAGAAGCAGCGTGCAGTAGGAACGATCTGCTCGGCCGACAGACGTCTGGTCGCAGCTAGATCGCTTGCGTCTGCTTTCGCGCATTTTTTAGATCGCGTTGGCTGTACGGAGGGACTGCAGTTTAGGAGTTTGGCTTACAAGGCGCGTTAGCCTATCTGAAAATGCTCACCTCAAGCTCGACATCATAGGAAGCTCGCTGTTTTTTGCGAGTTACAGCGCGCCTACTCAAAATTTGCGGCTTCTTGTACGGCGTAGACGCAGCTTGCAATAACATGCATCGACGAGTTTCTTCCCTTTGCGAAGTGTTGTGGAACGAATTAAGCAAATTAAGCTTTGCACGTTAAAAACTGGCTCGATTCCGTTCCGCAAAACAATCGCAAGAGGGGAATTTATTCTGCTGGCTAACGTTTTCGCACGCGACAAACTCAAATGCGCAAGTTTGCGCGCGCTACAAGCCGGTTTTTCCGCAGCGCCTCCTGGGCAAAGCAGGGAACCTATTTGACAGACTACTAGCGCCACTTGCGAAAATAACGTTCGGTTACTGCAGGTCTGTGTTAGGCAATCCGAAGAAAAACAAAGAAACAGAAGTGATAGAAGTTGAGCAGCTTCTCCGTTGTTTTTGTGACCAGCTGTTACGCGGATATGTGACTTGTCTTTGGGCCATGCGGGGCTATTTAGCACCTCAAGAAAACAGTACTTAACTTCGGCATCGCGAGCAACGAACCCCGACCAGTTCACCGTTAGTGTGGAGCTCACTCTTCGTTTTGGAAGCTAATACCAGCTAATACCAAGATCTACGAACTCTACCTACCTTTAGGCTTATTACTTTGTTTACTTTATACCCGCCTGTGCGAGTGGACATTTTCTTTTTCGCCTTCTTTTTTGCGCTACATTTTGAATGTGTTGAACTGACGCTTTCTTAATTTTGCGACGCTAAAACAAGCGCTTCAACCTTTCACCGAGGTAAGTGACTTCCTTCAGTCACCGACGGCGAGTAACCGTCGAAAAACGCGAAGTCATGTGAATAACTGGATCCTTTCCGTATCTACGCTTCACTGATCACATGTCCAATCGACTAGGATATTACTCTACGTCTATGTCGACTAATCCCCTTATGTATCGTTTATCGTTCCAATTTGGTAACTAGAGAAGTCGACTCTCATTAACGATGGTATCGCTGCTGCCAACCTACAGCGTTTACATGCTCAACATGTCAACTTGAAAAGGTAGCTGGCCGTGTAAATACGCTGTCAACTCCGCGCAGTTAGTTAGTATTGGTTAACAGTCAGGCTTTTATACGGACTTAATTTCTCTCTTTTACAGAGCAGGCTACACTCCGCGCGCTCGCAAGGATTTCGAGTGAACCGCAGTCAAAAAGAGGAAAAAAAAAAAAAAAGAAATTCAGCAAAACAAACAAGGCCATGGTTCAAACAGCAAGCCACGCGCCTACGAACAAGAGTGGCATCAGGGTGTATAAAATCGTGGTCCTGGGTGACGGAGGTGTCGGCAAGAGCGGTGAGTCCATGCTTGTTTTTGAAGCGTCAAGGGCGAATGTTATGGCGTTATCTGCACCAGTGTTCCTGGTGACTCAACCGCGACATGTTGTTTTGCGCCCGCCGGCGTGATTGCGGGAGCACGTGACGTCACGACGCGTTTGTTTTGAACGTCTCCAACGTATTTTAACATGCTTGCTTTTCCTTTTCTTTGCAGCCCTCACCTTGCAGTTTGTAACGCACAGTTTCTTGGAGTACCACGATCCCACCATTGGTAAACAGCACACTCTTTCATGGCTTAACGTTTTGCAGTTAGATTCGATTTAATAAATAAAAGCATAGTAAAGACACAAATTCTTCCCCTGCTCGGAAAAATATAGCGTGCCCATGAAAACACTAAGCGTTTTTTTTTTTTTTTTCACCACAAGAAAAAACTATGCATCGCTGAACACCCAGTTGCTTCTCAAATGTAGCAGTAGCAGCAGACCAGATGCCAAAGTTTCAGAGCTTGTCATTATCTTATTTAGAAGTTATCAATTGATTTTTTCTGAGATCTTCAATGTGAAGATGTGCCAATTTCTGGAAGCTCATTGAAACTTGAAAAACAAAAATTGCTTATAACTTTTCAATTGGATAGCGGCAGGCTCTGAAACTTTGGCATCCGGTCCAGGACTTCTAGTGCTGCCTTATAGCTCACTTTTGCGATAAAAACAAAACAAAATATTATCAGGGCACAGCTTTTAAAAGCCTGTAGATAATGTAACTCATTAAATAACTGGAGACATATACTCCAGAGTATCATACCCTTTCCTCTTGTTATCTAAGGATGTTCACTTGGGCCTGCCTCGGACGGCAATTTCTCTCAGCAACTTGATGTCTCAACACCAGCAACACGGACCGCCCAAAATCACACGCAGCAATCAATTGCTGCAATTTGCTGTCGTCATCATTACATTTTATTTTTTTACACTATTTAGACACAGTTACGTTCTGAAAACATATTTTTATACATTTAAATGGCGTTGAGAATACTAACTCATCTTTTCAAATGGTTTATTTAAGAAAAAACTATATTTCAAACCAGAACCAAGTATTTAGTTGTCATCATAACCGGCACAGGGTATCATGTGAAAATATTGAGTCCCTGATTGGCCGCAGCCGCTTTAAACGTCTTAGAATTTCTCCGAGTTGCTCGCTTGTTTCAAGCCAGACCCGATTTCGGCAATTTGTGTTGATCTAGGGAACAACCCGCCAGCAACCCCAAAATTTCCAAGAAAGTTGCCCCGTCTGAAGTGGGCCTTATGCTGGATGAACCGATGGACATTGCCATTTTGTTGTGCAGAACTTCACAGGTGCTGTTGAAGCAGATACATTTTTTTGCGTTTTCGATTCATTCTTACTTCTATCTAGGGTGGCATCGCTCAATAGCTCTTCTGTATTTTATTTCATAAAGAAGTATAAACATTCTGAACAAGTCAAATACATTTTCGCTAATGGTTCTGTTCGAATGCCTCAATTCAATCTTGCTCGTAAAAAGTTAAATTTTTTTATTTTGAATGACCCTCCAATTTTCTTGAGTGAAGACAAAATTGGATCTGTCTAGCATAACATGAGTCAGAAAAACTACTTCCCAGGACAACCTTTCAGGCAGTTCAGAAGATAAGGAGAGTGCACATGCATAGCTTTGATGTTCATAGTTGCACAAGAAGATAGCTTCATAACCCGTAGCTTTGACTACTCTCCTACAGAATGTTGTCCCCAAGTATGGGCATTTTGACTGCCAAAATACGGTTCTGGGGATTTTTTCGTTGCACGTTAGTAAATTGTCTAGCACTATTTCTATCCCTGGTTGTTGAACCTTCGAATTTTGCCTCTGGATATGTACTTTTAGATTTCCAGGAACAGATTGTCAATTTAAAAGAAATTACACTTTCCAAATTCTTTATTATGAGTCCGTCTTAATTGCCTCCTGATATGCCTTTTCAGAGGATGCTTACCAGCAGAAGACTGTTATTGACGGGGAAGTGGCACTCTTGGATATCCTTGACACAGCCGGCCAGGTAAGGGCTGCAGTAGCAACTCGGAACATTGCAGATATGTGCTAGAGAAGATCAAAAGGAACAGCTGACTAGAATGTAGCAGGAAAACTTCACTTAAAGGGAAGATGGGGCACTTCTACATTTGAGAAAAAACGCTTGAATTGCGTTCATTTGGCCTTTAGATTAACAGATATCAAAATTGTATTTCAATGCGACGCGCCGGAGAGCCATACGAGCAATCTCAAAATAGGACTGAAGCCCCGCCTCCCTAGCCTTGGGCAGCCAAAAGAGTCGTCGATGACGTCACGGACAGCGACTGTCTTTCGCGTTTTTCTCGCGTTTAACAATACTTGCGCAGCAAACGGTTTGGGTATTCGGGTTCACGGGGTAAAAATACACTAGAATTCACTTCTAACTCATTTTTTCCAAGAAGCTCCGTAGCTTCCCTTTAAAGGGACACTGACACCCCCCCAAACTTTTTTTTAAATTTTTTTTTTTTCCAGGTGATTTATTATGGTGTAGGAATATTACCAAATTAATATTTTGCTACAGGGTCACATATTTTTTTAATATAGCCAAAAAACGCAACTGCTCGAAACGAAACCGAAACCCCCGCACCGCACGGAGGCGTGGAGAGGAGAGAGTGAGTGGCAGAAGTCGCACCCAACCATGCAATTTTTTTATTTTTTTTTCTTTTGCGCGCAGCAGACAAAATGCGTTGCGGGATCCGTTTGCAGTTATGTTTGTTCTGCTCGCTGTTTCATACTTCAAGATGAGTTGTTTTGTACATTTAAGTGTTGGCAATTAGTAGTCAGTGCCCGTAGTCAGGGGTGGAACGACTGCGCCATTTGCGCCATTTTTCGCCAGACGCATTTGTCTGCGCCGTCCTGCGCCATGTTGCGGAAACTGCGCCACAACCAGTACCTCGCGATTATGCACCAAATGGCTAAACGTGGGCCAAAAAAAAAAAATTAATTTGCCTTGGTTTCGGTTTTTATTGACTCGATTGGCAACAATGAGCGTGTTTAGCTTGGTCGGCCTTGCAATCCTTTGTTCTGTTTATCCTCTCTGTGTATCCCGAGTCGGAAGCGCGCGGAAAAACTCTGGAGTCGGATTCCAAGCGCTACACCACCTGCGACTGGATTGTTATTCTTCAACCAAACGCTGTTAAGGGAATCGGCCGAGGTAAAGTCGAGTCGTTAAGCGTCAGATCGCCTGAGGCTCTGCGGCCGGGGATCCGGACGTCAGCCAGTTGAAAACAAATGAGCAAGATATTCCTTTTAGTACTTCATCGTTAGAAGTTAGAACCGCATTCCCACAAGACGAAACGTGATTTGATAGAACTGGAACGCGGTCCGATCCGAAACCTTGCCGGCCAGCAGCTCTCACGCGAGCGGCGGTAGATCTCCTCGGCGTACTTAAACCATGCTCCTGCTTATCGCTTCGTATACGATAACTCCGTTGATCGTAGTCTGCTGCTTCGATATTGAGTTGCACAATAGGGTAAACTCGAAATTTGTTGCTGTGTTTCTCCGCGCAACTGCACGTTCGTTGCTTACGCACGTCACGTGGTTCGCACATATAATTACTATGTCGAGCACGTGTGGGTTGTGCGATAAGCAGTGCTGGTTTGCATTTTGAGCAGGTGAAAGTCGCTCAGAAAATATCAAGGACACTATCTGCAGAAACGTATGGTACTTGCTTTTTGGTTCTCATTAAGGCTCACAAAGGTTCAAGTTTTCGCATCTGTTACACTGTTATCCCACCTACCTAGGTCCCGAACCACTCATGTTCATCTGTGCTGCTAAGCACAATTGAAATTGCTCCTGTGCTTGTCTAAGCCACAAGCTGAAGTGCAATGAAAGCCGATCTGAGCTGCTCCTAGCCTGCTCCAGAATGTAGTTGTAGCTGCTCCCAACCTGCTCCAAAACTGCTGTTTCAGCTGCTCCCGTGGCTGCTCCCAATTACATTTCATGAGTTCCACCCCTGGTAGTGAATTCCCGTGATCGGCTCCGAAAAGAATAGTCCCAAGATGTTGCGTGAAGAGCTGCCTCACATGTCCTGCATCTGAAAGTGGCATTGTGCGGCAGAGATGTCAACAATGAAATCCCATACCATTTAGTTCAGTGACATATCGTCCCTAACAATTGTTTTTTTTCAGTGATAATTGTAAAAAAAAAAAATTTAAACATTGCAAAATGTCTGAAAAAAAAAAAAAAAAAGGTGCGCTTATTAGGGATTGAATTCATCCCCGCTGCGTGTGAAGCGGATGTCTTTCCTCTGAGCTACTGAAGGAACTCCTTCGTACGTAGTAATGCAGCCAGTCGACTGTATGTCGGAAAGTTTTCTGCCAATTTCCCTCCAGTACATGCATTCCCGGCTTGAAGTCGGGCAGCACCACGCGCTGGCCACATTCGCACCTACTGTAAAATCCCAAAAGATGCCCCTCCCCCTAAAGATAGCCCACCCCTGTTTTAGGCTTGATTTGCTAGTATATTTTATTAAACACAGAAAGGTGGCCCACTCTTAGTAATAATAGTGTTGAGATCTATGATGGCCTCGGCGTAAATGTGGACAGTTCGCTATGGCCGGATATGCCGTAAAACCCGCATATAATAAGAGGTCTTTTTTCAAATTTTGCCATGTAAAATTTTCGGCTCGTATTATATGTGGGTCGTAACAATTTTCAGCTTCGATGAGGCGCGATCTAACGCTGTTTGACATAGTTTCGGTTTTGAAGCAATATGGTGCTCAAAACAACTGTCATCATCATTAAAATCGCAATGTTCGAAGCGCCATCATCCGTCCACAGTGAGGCTTGGCAATGGCGTCGGCGCGAAAACGATAATCGACCGCCTTTAAAAGAAAAGTCCTTTTTGTTGCGGAAGACATCGGCAACAGTGCTGCCGGACGACAATTCGCTGTAAATAAAGGCAGCATTAGCGGATGGAGACGACAAAAGCAAGCTCTGTTAGCGTGCAACGGAACGAGGAGAAGCTTCAGGAGCCCAAAGAACGGCGTGTTCGCCGACGTCGAGGCTAGTCTCAGCGATTTTGTAAAAGAGGAACGTGAACGGCGCCTCGCCGTAACTTTGTAAAAGAGCAACGTGAATGGCACTTTGCCGGAAACATCGAGCTGCTGCATGAGAGCTTTGGCAAGCCGACATTGGGTAGCTCGCTTAATGCACCGTGCCGGGTTTTCACTGTGTCGGCGCAGGCTGGTCCGCTGGTCGCTCGCCCTTTCTAAAAGTGCGGGATTTCAAATGCGCTCGACGGCACTGGAGGCATCGGACAAGGAGTCTGATGGACATGATGACAGTGATTAAGGTTCAATTATGATGCAAATAAACATTCTTCCTAAGACTTCCTGGGTCATACTTTACGCGGAATATTTTTGTTCTCCTTATATTGTTTCGTATTATACGCGGGTTTTTACGGTAAGTGAACATTGCTGACTGGGAAGTAGTCATCTTTGCTTCGTTGCCCCTTGCCACCATAAGCTTGGAATGGACACGACCTAAAAATAGCAATTTTTTAAAACTTGTCTTGATTGTACACCGAAAGTTAGCCCACTCCATATTTTCGGCCAATTTGCTCTTGACGTCAGGTGGGCTATCTCTCGGGATTTTACGGTAGTAAAGAACGCATGTGTACTCAACTCGAAGTACGCACTTCGTGCTTGACGTTTGAGCGAGCAAGGTCTTCAGCCACGAGAAGGGACGACGGCTCGGCAACGTCTTCGTGCAGTCGGCTTGCTGGTCGGGCGTGTCGTACAGGATGAATATCAATTCTTTTGAACGGTCCAAAATTTCTCTTTCGAAGGAAGACAGAATTTGCCGATACCGTGAACAGCTGTTCTGAAGTAGACGTCCCACGCCCGTCGTTTGCTGCTATCCGCGAGTACCACGATACGCGAAACGACGCCATGTTGAGAGTTGTGCAGTGAATGCACAGAATGTTTCCGGTTGTCTGTGCAACCTTTTTTTTAATCAACGTATTGGCAGCCTTTTGGAAGCCACGAAAAATGGGTTTCATATTTATTTAAATTTTTAGTATTGACTGTGTGCCTTCAATGACCCACGACTGATTAAATTTGGTGGTCGCATCGAAACCTTAGAAAACTGCCCGTGACCACAAAAAAAAGAGTGAGTACGACTCAAACTGGCCAGTTCTCGATTGGCGGTTTTCGGGCGGAAAGAAACCGAATTTCGAACCGCAAATTCTGTTCTGGGTAGGTGGGCTCTCATATGTCACGTACAACTAAAAACCTCGGCGAGCATAAATACCCTGTCGGTTTCCCTTTAAGGAGGAGATGCTATCCCGCCAGCTGACTTAACCTTAAACCTTCCACAACACTAAAATATCTAGTTCAGCCTTACTCCATGTGGCTCTGAAAGTTTAGTATGTAGATGCAACAACCAACATCCCTAGATCAAGGAGCGAAAGTGCAGGCAAGCTGGTTAGGAGACATAATCTAATCCCTGGGAGAATGAGAAAAAAAATAATGGACAAGATGACACAAAATCTCAAATGGAACTGAGTTTATTCGCAAGGAAACAACAATTTATAGTGGTCAACACAGACAGGAATGAGGGAGGACAAAAAGACATGCTACCACCAAGATCACAGAACTGAGCCAGACTGACTGACCTCCACCCAGAGACCACACCCCCAGCAGACACCCGCTGCCAAGCAACCTGACAAAATAATCCGTGTTGGGCTATGTGAACCAAGCCAAAGACCACTCCTCCCCTTCCCATCCCTCCCCCCTCCTCGACAGCAGGAACTTGCAACAGAATTCACACAATTTCAGTAGTCCTCTACTAAAGGTTTCCTTTAAAAACCTTTTGAAAAATCGCTTTCTTTGCGCAAGATTGAAGTCTCTTTCCATAATGGCACGCACACATTTCATTCAGCAAGATGTTTGGCTAGTTCAGATGATGGAGAACCATTTTCCACACTTCTTTTGTGGTCCAAGAGAAAGTCATTTACACGCCGACCCGCCTGGCCCACATAGCAGAG